AATCGCTACATAAACCTATTTGTCTTCCAAATTAGCAGGAGTTGAACGATCCACTTCTTTCAATGAGTGAAGTTGTCAGGCATGTGAAAGAAATATTAGCCATCCATTTCTGTAAAACATTAACTTCTTTATCCAGAATTGCTTTTTGCATTAATTGTTAGGATCAGCAGTTCATCTACTAAACTTTTCCATGCTAAAAGCATGCTACAGCGCTGTCTTCGTGCAGCAGCAGACTGGCACTCTCAGTGACTTGGTTGCTCCTCACACTTTGCCCAACAGTGGCAAAACTGAATTATAATTTATTTTCATTCCTTTTGTATAGAAGTTTGAATAGCGACTAAGTGGTCAGTTCTACGGGCAGCTAATGGGAGAAGCATGGTAAAAGTTTCAGGGAAAAAATCTGCACCAAAATCACATTTTTACAAGGCTCTTGAGCTCTGCTCCCTCCTAGGACCCAGAGGAAGTGGGTTTCCCAGCTGACCAGTGGTCATCATGTTTAGAGAGTCAGAGCAGCACCCTGGGGCTGACAGCCCTGCTCTTCCCATGTTGTCTGCCAAAGAAAAGGTGAAAATGCTTTTTCCATGCTGTTGATCAGTGTTAAAATACCACCTTCTCCAGTCTTAGCCTTCCCAGAACAAACTCAAATTAACACGTATTGGAGCTGAGCTGTGGGGGCTTATTTTGGTGTTGTGGTTTAAATCCATTGTGTTAAAAGTAATTTTTTGAGTAAGTAATTTTCCTCTACTGTTCCCTTTGTTTCCCCATCTGACTTCAGAAACTAATGAGATTTTCTTTCATTTAAAATTCTCTTAAGTCCAGGCATGAGACATACAGTGGTAGAAACACTAAATGTCTGGGTTTTTTACCTAGAAAAAGTGTTTGTGTAACACACAGCTTTTAAATAGCTTAACAAATCCAGTACCTGATGTGACTGTGACCATGCATGCAAAGTTTCAACTCATACAGAGAGAAAAAGATAAATAAAACTGACTGTAAATGGAAGTGCTTTCCCATCTTAACTGGATGGTATTATCATCAATCACTAAAACCTTTTTGTCTACAATCTCACTTTTTTTCCATACCCAGTTTTCTTAGTGATATTGTAATTTCAGCATTTATAGCCTTCCATGGTTTTCTTTGTTGCTGCCTGTTAGGATATTGCAGTAGTGATAGCATGGAGTGAATAAAACAGGTATAATCAGGTTAGTTCTTAATACTAATGTAAAGTCTTCTGTCAGGGAAGTGATGAAAACCATATAATTAAAGTTATTTATAATGTGACTTGACAAAAAAATTGGAAAAGAGGTGACAATATAGTACAGTAAGTGTTTTTCTTCTCTAATTTCTATTGCTGTATTTGAACTGTCCCTTGTACTAATTTTTTTGCAGTTCAGTTTAGGAACAAAAATGATCTTTATTTCGTGTAAAAGGGGTATGTGTGAATATGTCTGTGTGTTTTGTTTATATATAGATAAATACATAATATAAATGTATAAGTTATCCATTACTGTGATGCTCTGGCAATGATATTTCACACTAGCATTTACTACCAGTCCTCAAATAATTTTTCTTCTTTTTTTTTTTTTTTTTTAAAGGGCTCATGCTCAATTGCAAGTTCAAAGTTTGGTAGAGCACACAGATATTAGCAAAGAGATCAGATGTGCAAAAACCTTGACATTTCAAAATGAGTCCTGACCTGGCTTCTGAAATGGTTAAAACAAGATATTTTGGGTAGATGTTTACTTCCCCACTTTTGCTTTAAAGCAGTTAGTCATCAATTATTGTGTAAGTTAAGGATGAATTTCTAGTGTAGTTTTTTCCAATATTCTCTTCCATGACTGTGATTAAGAAGCCTTCTACTCTTGTATTATTTTCTGTCATTTGAACTCAATAACTTTCTACTTTTGATACATGGAAATAATTAAATGATGATTGGATAAATAACGCATCTGAAAACAGCAGAGCTGGATAAATAACAGATGAACATTACTGTGCTACTGTAATGAGACTGGAAAATATTTTTCTATCTGAGTAAGGCTATGAGCTAAAGTTATCTTTTTAGCCCTTTTCTTAGGAAAGAGAAATCTTGTTATGCAGAATGAAACTGGAATAGTGACAGGAAAAAAAAATGCAGTGCTCTTTGCACCCTTTTGGTAGCAGAAACAAGAAGAAAATTAGGGAGTAACAGAAACAAACCTGTCTTGGTCTTGGAGCAATTTTTAGCGCTGATGGTGTACAAGAGGAGACTCATGGGCTGTGAGACCAAAATCTAGCACAACGCTGATAAGATGTTTTAACAAACAGCAAAAAACCACCAGTACTGTTGTGTTCATATTTCTCTGTCAAATGGAGAGGCTGCTACATGCATCTCCCAGAGCAGCAGCTTAGTAAATGCTCTGAATTGTGTTTTGAATCTCTCATCCCTGCCTCTCTAGGGAAATGAGTTAAAGTTGTGCAGAGGAACCATGCAAATAATCTTTTTCTCAGGAAAAAGTAGCTTAATTCAAACCAGTATTGAAAAAGAGATAAAATAGGGCTTAGGCTGTTATCATATGCAGAGTTATTGGAGGTAGTAGTCTGTATATTGATGGCAATTTAGTCTGAAAAATATGTTAGACTTGAAAAATTAGGCAATATGAAGATACAAGATGTTCTACCTTGGATGATAATGTCAAGCTTGGTAAATGTCAGAAATGCAGATGGAAAGACCATGGGAAAATCCATGGGAACAGACAGCACACCAGGCAGGGCAAGGCTGGAGGGACAGCAGCCAGGAGAACACCAACAGAAGAGACCTAGAGAAAGACAAAATTGGCTTGCTCTTTCTAAAAAACCCCAAAAAACCCAACAAAACAAAGGCAGAAAGATAATACAGAATTAAAATTCTGAATTGAGGTACTACTTTCTCCCTTGGGATCTGTAAAGTAAAATTAACATCTGTTTCTCCCTCAAGTATGAAGGTTGATTATAGATCTTTATTGAGATGGTAGAGTTTGATAGACAGAATCTTAATCTGAAGTACATGATAAGAGTATGTATAATTCTCACAGTCGATAAATTGTGGGTTTTTGTTTGGTGGTTTGGGGTTTTTTTGCAAAACTTTTCTTCTTCTACAAGATGAAATGCCTACATGTTATTTTCTGATGATGCAGTTTCCCAAACATACAATAACTAAACCACGATTTAAACATTAAATTTACTTTGGAGCAATATTTACTAAAATAAAATCTGTATATTTTGCAATAGTTACCTCACTTGCTACTGAAATGCAGCTGTTCCTGGGGATGTGCCGTAGCTCTGCAAATATCCTGGAACAGTTTAGAAGAAGTTTGAGAATAACTTCCTGTAGTGACATAAGTAGAATGAAAATACCAAAGTGCACAAGGATACCTTGGTTTGTCCAAAGTACACTGAAGAGTAATCTTAGGGGATTGATGTACTGTGTCCTCCAGAAAACTATATCAGTGTTGTTTAGATAGTGCTTTTTATTTATTTAAAACTATTTCATTTTGGTTTGTGTGTGTGTGTGTGTGTGTGTGTGTGTGTGTGTGTCACAGTTTAACAAACATTCAGGAGGCCTGACCATGCCTTGGTGATGTCCATCTGAAGCACATCATGAACAGTAGTAATGAAATCTGTCCTCACTCAAAAAGATATGTAGGAGAGAATATTATATTGCTTCTGTACCAGCTCAGAAAAGGTTTCCTTCAGATGATATATAATAGCCTTTTTTTTCCTGTATACTTTTTATAAATTTTGTTTAAAAATTTAATTTCTAATTATCTGAGAATTGGTAGTATCCATTCCTTTGTATTGCAGTCTCTCTTGTTAATTTGATAAAGACTTTGTTGGCATTTCTTTTGCATATTTGTTCCTTTGTGTGCCTGCTACACTGTATGTTGTTCAGCCATTTGTGGCTTGAAACAGTGCCTAAATGGTGGCTTATGTTTCCCTATTTTCAGGCCATAGCTTTTTATGTCTGACAACTCAAGTCTTGCAGCAATAACACTGAGTTCCTGCTATGGTTAGAAAAACACCACCCATTTGAAAATATCATCTGCCACCAATTCATTGCATATTGAATAGATCTACTTTGGAGGGTTGCAATGCCTTGTTTGACTCTCTAGCTCTTTTTTAGACATGAAATTTTTATATAAATTCAAAAATACTGTTGCCTTTCAGGCTAATCACCTTTTGGAAAAGTCAAAGTGGAAGATTTCTGGCTGACTTCCATGTGTAGGAGAGCCTTCAGAAAGTCCTTTCTGTATGTGCTCATTGATATTAAGCCAAACTTTGCAGAGACTTCACTGCTTGGAAGTACTATCTCTGTTCTGTCACCAGCCTTATCTGTTAAATCCCAATGAGTGTGAAAAATGAGAAAAATCTGGGTTTGCTTGGCTGTTTCAACAGTATGTTGAGAATGGCCAGATTGCTGGAGAAGACGATTCTCTTGGAAACCCTAACAGCCCAGCCTCCTCATCTGTAGGCACATAGAGCTCATCTGAGTGTGTAAATAAAAATAAATAATGCAGTGAAAAAATATGCAGATTATTTTGCTGAACTGTTTCAATTTTGGATCTGCCATAACTAATTTAAATCTTCTACTGGGATTTATGCATGCAAGGGGTCAGATTTAAGATGTTTGTAATTTAAAGCTTTTCTGCTACTACACCTTTTCTACTTTTATATCCTATCATGGTGCCTTTTTGATGCAAAGAAAGTCCCTTTTGTTCCCTTTTCCTTTTCTCCTTTGAAGAGAACATTTGCTTCTCCATTTATATGAGGTAATGAGACCAGAGTAGCTCATGAGTCTTTAAATCAATCAAATTGGGCTTCTTTTAGTGTATAGAATATCCTTTTTTTTCCACAGTACTTTCATTTCTTTGTGCAGTTGCTCCATCTCCAGCACTCAATATCTCACATACCTTTTTAATTAAAAAACTCCCCAAAAAGGGCAAGCAATTGTCATCCAAATGGCTGTGGCGTATTCTCTATTCCAGGCTGATTCACGGAGGGCAGCTGTTAAATGGCTTGGCGGGGCCAACCGTGATGAATGCGGCACCATTTCTTTCCACAACGTGGTTTTCTCCTGACGAACGTGCCACAGCGACAGCCATCGCCTCGCTGCTCAATTACCTGGGCTCTGCTGGCGCCTTCCTGGTGGGGCCTCTGGTGGTGCCATCTCCTAATGGGACAGCTCACCTCCTGCTGGCATCGCAGAGCAACACCGAGCACATCAAGGACCGCATCGAGGCTGTGCTGTATGCAGGTGTGGCTTAAAAATAAGTATTAAAAAAATAAGAAAATATTAAAAATGTGCGTGCGTTCATGTGTGTTTGGTACTTGTGAACCAGTACCCTCTAGTGGCTGGTTTGCACGGGAACCGGCTCCCGACTGAGTGAAAATAATTAAGTGGTAATGTATTGTACCGTCAGAAGGGTTAGTTTTTTCCCCTCCTGTGTAGGAAAGATTTAAAAATAGCCTATTGTACAGGCTGACTCCAAAGGAAGTAATTCAGTTGTTTATATCGGCTGATCTTGGGAGAAATGTCTCCTAGGAGAGCTTACACTTTCCCTGAGCTTCCAAACTGGTTTTTGCTCATTGAATTTTCATTAAAAATATGTGTCCATGGCATGTTGGGTTTCTTTCTGTTGTGTCTGTAAGGATGGAAATCCAATAGTCTTTTAGCATTAAATTTCTTCCCTGCATTAAATCAGCCTTAATTTATGATTTGCATGTACCTTTCAAATGTGATTAGATTATTAGTATTTAAGAATCTAACACTGAAATTAAAATGAAATAGATTTTATTTTTAGCTAAAACCACATAATTCATACTGGTGAGCAATTTCAATGACGTGGCAACAGTTGAGTGGAAAAAAACACTGATATAAAATTCACCTGATATAACTTGGATTTTATGTCTTTGCTCTTTTTCTTGCAATGGCTTCTACAGCTCTTTATGTCACTTACAAAACTCAGCAGCAAACTTTAAGGAAAATAAGTTGGTTAAGTGGCTTAGGAGCCTATGTTCTGATTCTTAAAGGATATAAATTGGTATGGCATTCAGAGCAGATCAACTCTTTACCATGTCATGATGGTTGCACATTTGATTGGGATTTCCCCCCCCTTATGATTGCAACCTCTGAAATTCAGCCAGGACATAGCCCTAAGTGTTCCAGAAGTCTTAAAGTACATATGCTGTGTAGTTTATATGGAAGTTTATGGGATTGAGTTAGCTGTTTGTGATCATTTATTCCTGGATGTTATTCTTGCGGAAATTTTGTCAAGTTAATATTCCTGTTGGGAGAGGGTCACTTTACTGTTCATTTTAAAGAAAGTGTAATAGAAGTTGAATCACTATTTCACCAAGTATTTTTGAGTAACCTACTTTTTACTGGACTCAGATGGAACAACAGTTAAATTTGGGTTTGGTTAAGCCTTGTTCACTAGTAAATATGATGTTTGACTCATGGCAGATGAGAACGGCTAATATGAAAGAAGGAAGAATGAAAGCAAGTCAGGTTTTGTCCTGAGGAGCAGTAGATAAGGGGAGAAAAACTAGCAGTTAGAGAAGTGCTTTAGCTCTACCTCTTCAGATTTTCTATGGAGCGAGAAAAATTCATCTGCCTAAAGAAAGTACTGCTTTGTGCTTGAAACCACTGGTTTGGGTCTGGTAGCACTAGAAGTATTGCTTTCAGCAGCCTATTAGATTCACATTCTCTTCTGTTCTCTTTAGGGAGGTTTTCTTAAGCATTTTCTTCAGAAACAGGGATGGATCTTGCCATCAAGGTTAGGTGTGTCTTGCCTGCTCCATGTCTTAGCATGGCTCTTTATGCCTGTCTGAGCTGACAAGGGCTTGGGAACACTCTGTAGACTTGTTTGGAATCACTGATCCCAGCATGAGATGATCCTACAGCAGCTCTTCATCTTCCTAGGAAATGTGTTTTGAGGGGCACCTGCACTTTTCACTTAGTATTTGAAAGTGCTTTGAACAGAGGTGGATTCTGTGTGCTTGTGTTTGTGTCCTACAGGGTGCATCTTTTCAGGAGCTGAAACCTCTTTAGCTGTTCAGGCAATGACGAAGAGCTGTTTTGTGAATGGTGCTGGCCTGCAGTGAATCACAGTGATGATGGCAAAACCTCCAACTGGCTTAAAATTGGCAAGAGCTGTCAAAGAGGAGGTTGGGTGGAATCCCTCGTGGGATTTCTCCTGTCTTACTTCAGCCCTGTTTCCCTGGAAAGCCAAAGGCACAGGGTCCCTGCTGACTGCCTCCTCTCTACTTTCTTGTGCTAGGTGGGCTCCAGAGGTAGAAGGAAGGCTGCCTTACGGTGGGCAACTGCCTCATGTAATGTATAGACAGTTCTGTTCACCTGTGGGCCAAAAAATACCTGTTAACTGTGGTAGGGTACTGTTTGTCCCTTAAATTGGCTGGTCAGAAAACTTGCCTCAAATCGACTTCCAAGATTACTAACAAAGGTTCTGGAGAATATAGCACAACAAGGAGCTGACCCAAATATCCCACTTCCCCACTTTAGCAAGTGTGGCCAGGCTTAGTATGACTTCTCATTTCGGATCCTACGGGAAAGCCAGTTTCACAGGATAAGCACACTGCATTTCTAATGGAGTTGTGTTTATGATGGAGCTTGTTGCTTTTGTGTGAGGTAGTATTAGATAAGCAGCCTTCAAATGTTAGATGATGTCTTTTAAAAGGCAGTAATGATGTGAATTGTTAAGTTGGGATCAGTAGCGTGCCAAGAGTTTTCAAATTTTCCGGGGACTTAACCTCAAACATGATTACGAAGCAATTGCTTATAAACCCATTCTGAAACTGCTCTGTTAACTCCAGTCTCTTCTGTGTTTTAATAAATTGCTCTTCCTTTATCTCAAATGCGGACTAAGAGCTCAGTTGAATTACCGCAGCCTCTTTCTGTGTCATCTGTGTCGCTGCACATTCTGGTTCACAGCTCAAATAGTACAGATGTAGCAAATCAGGATTGAATTGTATTACCTGAATCGCACAAGGAAGCTTGAATTATTCTGGACTGCAACCAGAGCTCTCAGCCTTGTGCTTTCCTAAATAACAATGTAAAATCATTGTTAAAAAAAAATAAAATGTGTGCGTGTGTGTAAAGGGCCCTCATTCCACCTTTACATTACAGGACAAGGTGGGGAGAAAGGTTTCTGAGTTTGAGTAGGTTTTTGTGCTATGAGTAGCCTATCTGAAGGGAAAAGATGTTGTATCAAGGAGGCTTTTGTCTCTCTTAAACCTCTTTTTTTCTTTTTTCTCTTTGGAGTTTACACAAGCAAGCAGCAGGATGTCTACTTCCTAGGCTAAGATGCAGGCATCTGTCCACTTTGGCAGTCTCAAGTCACTGTGGTGTGGTACCCAGCTTTTGTAAAGCATTCCAGGTTAACTCCTCAACAAGAGATAGACAGCTGTGTTTCTGCACACTGATTTATGTCTTGCCCAATTCTGAGTACATTGCTGCATCCATTGTCCTCTTCAGAAGCCTGCTACCCCTGTGGAAGACCTTTAAGACAAGTTTTATATTGTATTTTTCTTTATCTAGTCTGAAAGAGTAAATGATGAGGGAGATAAAGGTGTGGGTTTCTTAAGGAATTCATCACATAAGAAATTGAATGTGTTTGACAGTACCTGGACTTCTGATGTAGGTGTGATACACAAAGCTAAGATGGCACTGAAGACTTCTATTCTTCAATAGAGGGAGCTGCTTTAGTTTCCAAAGGGCATTCTGCACTTTCCTTTTGTGCATGAGGGCAGAGCTAGCTAGGCAGATTTGTTAGCCTGGAAAGTGTAACACTGGGAAATGTTGCAGAGGTGCAAGGAGGTACTACAAGGACAGTATGCTGAATTTAATAATTAAAGAAAAAAAAATAGAAGATGTTACTATACTACTTCTGCTGCAGCAATTTGACTGGCAGAAATCTTGAGGCAGCACACAGATGAGGCCTCAGATGGGCACCTGTTATAAAATATTGCTGTGACTTAAAAAAATTATCATCATTTGCATTCTTCAGAAAAAGATCTAGCCTTTTCCCTTATAGCACTACAGTATAACAAAGTTAAATAATTAGTACCTTGGACAAAACTTACAAGTTTGTGTGATCACATTCTTGTTGGCTATACCTGTCTGCAGTCTGAAATCTTCCTTTATATGTGATTAAAATGTGTGTATGCATGTACATATGTATAGCTATAAACCTGTATGTAGACCTAGAATCAGGAGAGGCAGATAAACAGCTTTTACTAAACAGCTCTGTAGTGACAAAGCATCTTATCCCTTTCTTAGTTCAGGGATGATCAGTTATGGCCAGTTCTTTTTTCACTGCTCGTGGTTTCAGAAACAATGTACACAAAGATAGAAATGAATCTGTTTTCCAGAGAGCAGAGGAGATAAAGTGCCCTTGGCCCTCAAAACATGCAGTTAGACTAGAGAAGGAAAAGACACCACATGATTCAAAATGAATCTTTTAGTATTTGATCGTGAAGAATGCCATTGTCACATTCCCAGTATGCCTTCAAAGGAAATTTAGTGTAGACTTTTTTCCCATATACTGAATAGAAGCATTCGTTTCCTTTCCCCATCTCCAGCTGATCCATTTAGACACTGTTATTTGTTTCCTGAATTTATTTTCTTCTGGTTTAGCAGAAGACCTGGCAAAGCGCCATGTTCATATTGATTTATTAAAAAAGAGAAGAAAAAGAAAATGAACGCAATTGACTATCCAACTCTGCTGGAATTTATTTGTGGTGTCAGTGAACACTTCTTTGTTATAAGATCACAGGTTCTTTTAAGATAACACACTTCAGCCATACATTTTTCTCTACAGCAGCAAAGAATATTGTTTTCAAAGGGGATGGGAGAAATATTGGGATTGAGGACTGTGGAGAACATGATATACGTTGCAAAATGCCTGTAAAACTAATTAGACTGACTGTGGGTAGAGTTGTTTTTGCTCAGAATGTCTGCTCATGGGACTTACTGAGTATTTTCTGTGAAGTGCTCGTCACTTTTCAAGCTCAGTTCCAAACTTCTGCTATGAAATTTTTCAAAGATTTAGAATACTTGCTGCTGAACAAGAGGAGCATCTGCAAACAGCTGTATTCTTTCTTTTTTTTTCCCCTCTTACCTGTACTTTTTTCTGTTCTTGAGCCATGGCTGCTCCTGCACTTTTCTCTTTATTTTCTGTTGCCATGTAAATCTGTTTGTGTCCGAACTGCTGCCTTGCTTGACCTTTCATTTGCCTTCATCATCTTGTGCAATGAGTAATTGTCATTCCATGTCCTGAGGCTTCCCCAGTCCCATCTGTTTAAAGTCTCTGGCCTGCTGGTATCTGCACTGTATTACTTCCATCGTGAGGAAATGTGCCCAAATCTTCATATTGCAGTTCTCTCTAAGGAGAAAAAGCAACAGTTTCCTTTTGCTTCACTGTGTTCCCCATGTGTGAGCCTGGTTCTCTGCAGCTCCTAACACTGGCATGCACTGCCAGTCTCATTGCTTCTCCATCCCAATTTGAAATCTTGTTTGGGGAGGGCAAAAAGAAATTCTCCTTCAAGTTACCGAGTTCTGTTGCCAGGGGCATTAAGGCACTTGTGGTGGGATTTATGTCTCGGAGGCTGGCTGGTAGCAGCAGTGTACCAAAATAAGTCTGTTGATGCTAACATCTGTTCTTGGTTTTGTTTTTCTTTGCCCTCTTGCTTAGAATTTGGAATGGTTTCCCTGATATTTTCCGCAGCGTTGGCCTACTTCCCCTCGCGCCCTCCATTCCCTCCCAGCGTCGCTGCAGCGAGTCAGCGGCTCAGCTACAGGAGAAGTTTTTGCAGACTGTTAAGGTAGGACCTCACTGGGTTCCACTTCAAAGCAGATCAGCACCTAAATAAATAAAAACAAGTGTGCTTTAATCTTCTCAGGGAGCAAACAAGTTGGTTTGTAGTGCTTTTAAACAAAATAAAATTAATTATTCATGTTGAGGCATAAAAGGATGCTAACTGCTGAAAAGCAGACATTAAATTTTAAATCACTGGGTATATCTCAAGGCTTCATGCCAGAGTCCTTTAGCACCAACAATGCTTTACTCATCCTGTTATCACAGGGTTTTTTTATACAATGCTTCTGTTACAGCAGGTTATACAAGGTTGTTAACAGTGTGCTGTGAGATAACAATTAGCAACATTGGGCAAACTTAACTAACTGAGCTGCATTTGTCTGTGCTTATTATATCAGAATGAATTTGGAGTTTACTTGTCATTCGAAGGATTATTCAGCCATGGGAGCAATGAACGAACTATCTGAAATTGTGATTTGATCAATTAAATCTCATTAAGTATGTTAAAATATGAAATGGGAATAGGAAAAATGTCTCCAAATGTGTTTCTGGACAGGTTCAAAGACTAGTTAGCTTCCTTTAAGTTCTTAGGTTTAAAAAAAGAAAGAAATACAAAGAAAATGACAGCTTTGCAGCTTTTTGCACTTGGGCTGTTTTGGTAAGACACAGACCTACTTCCCCCCAGTGTTTGTAAATGTCTTGTGTAATGGAAATATCATATCAAAGGAACAGCTAAAACAACTGTAATATTAATGATAGATAACTGTGAATGCCCGTGCCCTGTACATGATACTGCAAAGATGAACTTCCTGGGGCAAAGAACTGCTCCCATGGTACCGAGTGTGACTGACTTCACAGGGAGGCTTCAGACTCTTGTAATTGTTTGTTGACTGATGCAGCGATAGAAGCTGAATCTGCATATAAAGGGCTGCTTGAAACTTGATGGTAATGGAGCATTAGCCATTCAATTAAAAGGTCTATTGTGGGCTGTACTTTCAATAAGTGTATTTAGAGGCAGCGAAAACAACTCATCCCCTGTTGTCATTGGTTTTGGGGTTTTTTTCCTTTTCTTTTTGAAGGCTTCTTATTTTGTTTGGGGGGGTAAATAGTTGGCAAGACGCTTAATCCTGAATGTTCATCCTGGAGCACGGTGGCAGTCAGGAGATAGTGTGAGTACAGCTGACTGGTTAAGTCTGCAAAGTGACCTACTCAGGATATTAAAAAATAGCAGTTCCCCTAAGGACACTTAGCACATATAGTAATGTTCTTACTCACCCAAGCTGATGTGCAGTTGGACCCTGCCTGAGGCTGTGTAGTAAAAATGTTGCCGTTGAACAGAAATCCAAACAGCAACTGGCTCCGCAGGTGAAATATAAAATTTCCGTTGACAGTGCTCCATTTGGGAGCTTTTTAACCAGTAGATTCCATGTTAAAGGGATTGTAAACAGTGGACCTGAGATACTGTAAGGTCAGGATATAAACAACAAAGGTGGCTTACTATTCTCAACCAGTGAAACTGAAGAAAACAAACTGTATTCTTAAATAATGAGCATAGTTTATAGTGTCTCTAAGAACCAAGAGGGGTTTTTTTTAAGCATGGACAGGTAGATAATTATATCTCCTGTCTCTCTGGTCTTTTTGCATTCTTCCATGCTACCCTTTATCAAAGGCACTTCTTCATTCCTCTGTACATGAAATAATCAACAATTCATCATTAAACCTGCTTATCTTGAGGAGCCTTTCAGCAACAATCCATCAAAGCAACTGGGTTTTATAGAAGAAAATGGTGTCTGCCATGCTTCAGGAGAAGTCCATCATCTGGCTCATTAGGCTTCTAAGGTCTGTTGCCTGCCTAATCTAGGCTTCATAATTCTTGGCTCAGAGAGCCTTTCTTTTGACTTAGTAGTGTAGACTGAAGGTAACCAGCAGATGAGTACTAAGAAATCATGATTTCCCCTTGCTGTAGACTTACCCTCTGGTATAAGAACTGTGTGTAAGGCATTTGGGATGTGTGTGAGCTGGTGGGCTGACTCAACTATGTGCCAAAAACACTCATGAGAATTGAGATGTTCATCATTTCCCTCTTCTTTCCCTCAGGCTGCAGTTTTATTACTTCAAAATAAAGCAGCATAGCATAATGTTACTATTGAAGTTATTGACCTTTTTACCTTGGACACTAAAAGGATCTGTCACATCCTTTCAGATCCCATACTCCTTCATGCCTTCAGGTCCTTGGGCAGTCATCTACACAAGCTGCTTCTTGCAGAGTTCTATTATACCATCCACAAAGGTCAACCATCCCCTGTAGGCCATTTTTTGGGACTTCCTTAGGAAACTTGATTCTTCCTTCTGATTTGGAGGATTCCTGCTTCTGACAGATTATAGCAATTAGCTGATTTCTGGTTATCTCCTGATACCAACTCTCTCAACCTGCAGTGGGAGACGACAGATTACTCATGGTTTGGGTGCTAAGCCCAAATCTTTCAACAGTCTAGCACATGCTGTGACAAGTGTAGTTTGAATTTCTGTTAGAAAAAGTGCAGTGCCCTTTATCAGTTTCTTGGGTGAAGCAAATACAACTTTTTTTTTTTCCCAGTTCGGAATATGCCACAAACTTCAATGGAAAAAATCCTAATACAAGTAAATAGTTGATTAATATTAAAATCTGTATTAAGAAAACTTGTTGTGATTTTTGCTTTGAGGTAATTAGATACTTTTAGCCAGTTATGTACCTTTTATATTTTCAAGGGACTATGTAAGCAATTTTGAAATTTTATAATAGGGTTTTTATGCATCATTGTTGCTTTAATGAAACTTTCATCAACATCACAATCCAGTAATGGAAGCTGCTCAGAGTGTGCCTGATGTTAATAGGCACTGTCAAAGTTATTCTGAAAATGATGACTGACTTTGATGGGCCTCCCCTCTGAACCAGTCTTGTCTTACAGATTCTGATAGCATTAGATAGGTTTCTGGAAAAAAAAAACAAAACAGGAGGAAAAATCAATTTGTATTCCAGCAGAGTGGTTTAAGAGAGGCTAATGCTGATGTCCCGTCATCACTGATACCATGGAAAACAGTGTGGGTTCACCAGCTGATGGTGTGACAGACAGCACATTTTTCTATTTTCAGTGGAGTAATTGCAAAATTGCAAAAACAAATACAAGCAACTGGAGCCATGAAAAGCAGAACTGCTGCTGAAAGATGTATGTTTCAAACAGCTTTAGCACTTAATGTAGGTAGCACTAGCTGTTGCTGGACAAGGGGGCAGAATGACATCTGGGGATCTTTGTCACTGTCATGCACCCTTTCTCCAGGTCACCTCACTTCTGCTGGAGACTAGGCAGGGTGGCAACCTCTGTCATTGGAGGATGTCATGATGCAGAGCTGGTTCTCTAGGATTGGTACTAGGAGTTGGATGTGGCACAGAGCAGCTATCCCACATGACAGTCTATCTTGTTGCTTGAGCTACAGAAAAAAAATACACCACGGGAAATTTTGGTCAAACACATTACAAAGTTTACACTTCCTCAAAAGTAGCTCTTTAATGAAGCTGAGGTTCAGGTAGCCAAATATTTTGAATATTCAACAAGTGTTATATTGGAAGACTGCATTCAGACATGTTCCCTCCTTGCAATCTACAACATGGCTATTTAAAGTCCATGCAAAATTCCATTTTATTTTACAGATGTTGAATTGGCTCTCACATGGATAGTATTAAATAGCATCAGATGCCAAGATGATACAAGATAGACTAGGATAAGAATATGGCATTCTTAAGAGAGAAAAAAAGTTGTCAGGAAAATGATAGCATTCAGAGAAAAATAACCAATGGGTAGAAGAGATGAAAGTTTGGGAGTTGTTTTTCTTTGCATTAAAAAATAAATTTGACACAAATTATATTGAAAGCAGAGGATATGTTCATGTGATGAAAATGTGTTATTCAAGAAGAGGATGTGTGAAAAAGAAGAGTGCAAAAAAACACTGGCTGGTGTGCTGTGCGTGGATCATCTAGGGGAGTAAAATGGTGTAAGCTGCAAACCTCTGAATGTTTTGGAGAGTAATCGAATTTCTTTCTCTCCCTCTTGGCTTTCATAACTGTGTGCTATCAAATTGCCATTGCATGCCAAGGAACTGGTACTGATCAGGATCAATTTTACATAAATAGTTTGGGATTGGAGGGAGCCACATTTTGTGGTTACACAGATACCCCATGGGATAACTGACCTTGGAATCACCATAGAATCTCTTCACTTTAAAATATCACTGTTGCAGAGTCCAAAGTACATTTTCTGGTTTTCATCCAAAATTGAAACATTTTTTGAGGAAAATTTGGATGTCTCTTAGCAAAGATTTCACATTTACTTTCAGTTACAGTTGAGTGGGGAAAGTTGTTGGCTAAACCCCTGTTTAACTGTATATGATGAAGATGGTGACAAAGTTTTGACTTTCACCTTCCCTGAATACTAAAGGTTAAATAATTTTAATTGGGAGGAAAAGCAAACATGTTGACTATTTAGAGCAGAATATTATATTTTATTATCTCTGGGGTTTGCCTGTTCGAATTGTCAAAATTTTCCACTCTTGCAACTCTACCACTCTAATTTCCAGAGCTCTCCCTGCTTTCACTAAAACAAAGAGAAATAAAACAGGGTTTCTTTTTGATTTATTTTTTTAAAGTTCAGTTCAAGAGGCATGAAGCTCTGATTTTATTCTTGAAATATGCTTTTCATCATTTAAATTAGTGCTTATTCTTCCTAACCTACACTGTGGCTGAGGAGGTTGCCCATGCCAGTGCACAGAAGAATTGCTTGCGGAAATGAGAAACACATGAGCCCAGTATGTTACAGAAATCTTTGAACTATGTGGAGAAACTAGCTTTTTCTATCATCACTGTGCTAAGGCAGTAACATATCAGCCACTGGAAATTCAGTGGCGTGGCTTTCTTGATTTTCGTGGCTCACTCATCTGTCAGACCTTTGCTATTTTTCTTGATGGGCAGAATATGGAAGGTGTCATTTACTGTACTGGCTAATCTTGGTGTGATTTCTAATATAACCTGCAGCTAATTGCAATGTGTTATCTTCACAGCAATTTCCGATTCTTGATGATTGCTTTAGCCTATGCTATACCACTGGGTGTTTTCTCTGGCTGGTCTGGTGTTCTGGATTTGATATTAACGCCTGTTCACGTAAGCCAAGTAAGTATCTCCTGACTGATAATCAGCAACCATTTTGTAAATGGCACGGTTTTACTTTGCAATAGCATACAGTTTTATCAGGTTTTTATGTTTAAGCAGCTATTAATACATATGGACCACTTTTCTCCTTGAAATTTTAAACAAAATAAACCATAGCTTTGGCATCCCAAACTGTCACAATTCTCCCTTCTGACTCTCCATCAGTGGCGAGTGTTTTCAGAACTGTACACACCTCTTGACAAGAAGGAAGAGGCAGGTAAACAAACTGTAGTGTTGTTGGCTGCTGCACCTTTAGGGAAAGAAAATAATGTGTGCCTGGTGGAAAAGATGAAGTGGGGAGAAGATGATTTCTAAGCTTTTGATAGAGTATTATAAAAAAACAGAGGACATTACTCAGATTCTATAAAGAGAGGTCACATTTAGGGCATAGACTACTTAGTCATACTTCCTTGTAGTGAATTTATTTCCTTTCCTAGAAAAAGCCTTGCACTTCAGATTGTTGTCAAGGGCTGTTGTTAGCAGTTTGCAGCTCCTGCACACCATTTGTTTTGAAAGTAACATCGTCTTATTTTCTCAGCTTTAATACATTTCTCTCTTTTGTTTTGTTTTGTTTTTTCCTGTCAGGTAGATGCAGGTTGGATTGGATTTTGGTCTATAGTTGGAGGTTGCGTTGTTGGCATAGCAATGGCAAGGTAGGAATAATTACAAGTCCTTCTTCATTTCTTCAACTGTGATTGTCATTTAGTTTATCCTCGTAGTAACATAACTTGTTTTCTCTCTTCTTCTGGAAACTTGAAATGGAAAATGCATTCTGGGGTTATGATGTGTTTCTTGTAGAGGAATAATTTGTACCAGGCTAGTGGTTGTTGGGGATTGGGAATTCCACATGCATATACCTGAATTTGGCAAGTCAGACTGTTACTCCTGACAAGGGCTTCCTGTATGCTGCTTTTAAACACAGCTCTTGTGAATTTAGCTGCCTGGTATAAAGGAGAACCTGTTGTAGCACATTTGGAAGGCATTGAAGATTAATGTCTGTCTCCTTCCATCAACACTTTTGGGCATACTGATTCCTAAAGGGATATAGGGAATGTAGTACAGGCAGCATACCCACCATGTTATGCTCCTCCACAGAGAAATTAGTCTGGGCCCATTTTGACCAAGTTGCTGGATTCCTGTGTAGCCTATTTTCTGCTGTACTCCTACAGACTACAGTATGGGTGAATCTATGCATTTTTATAAATCCAAACACAGCTTGCTCTGGCCATCATGAATGATGATGACATGGGGAGAGGAACAGCAAAGCATGGATTACCCTTCCAAAAGGTTGCTGCTTTTTTTGTGTTGAGGTTCTCTTCAGAAAAAGAGATAGGGGGAGGAAGAAAAAGTCTTTCAGGAGATACTCGAGCAATGAGTTTATAAAACTGTCTAAAACCAGTCACACATTCCCCTTGCATTGTGATACCTGAGCATTGTCCTGGCTTCTCTGTGTCCACTCTTTAGACTCCAGTTCTGCAATGAATTTAGCACAAGTGCAGAGATCTTTAATGGCTGCAGTCCTTGCAGAATTATGGACACAGGGAGGGATCTTTTTAGTACAGAAATTGAAACTCTCTTTTTTTCGCTTGCTATTTCATGTGCTTCATCAGAGAGTACACAATGCATAAAGAAATGTGAGGTTTCTCATCCTGACGTTTTGCAGGCTGCCTAGCAACTGCAGCAAGGAGAGGAAAAAACTCCTGACCTAGGGAAAAGAAACAAGCGCTTCTCTCCCATCCACTCCAGATGCAGGCCAAAGGACTCTAGCCAAACAAAGTTCATGCCCTGACTTCCTCTGAAAAGAGTTGCTTCTGATTAGCCAAGCTCAGATAACGAGGTTTTCTCTGTAAGAGATGCTGAAAACCAACTGTTGTAAATGACGCAGATGCCATAGGTTGCATGCTGAAGCACAAGTAGTGTGCTAGTTTAATCTTTTCCTTCATGAATTAATATCTAGTATATTTGCAACATTTCAGTGGTAGAGGGGCACCCTTAACTTTTTTAGGAGAGAGTCTGCTGACTCAATGCCAACATGCAAATCTCAGTCTTTATGGTAGATTAATTTATTTAATACATTGCCTGGGTTAAGTTTCAGGAAACGCTGACAGTAGCTTTAACTGCTTCAAACCTTTGATTTCAAACCTGGTTGAACACCCATATTTTGTGGCATTCAGTATATTTAGGAAATACCAGCAGTCTGTCTCCAAATATGTCTTTCTAACTTGGGCAATGCAGAGTTCAAATGGGAGGGTTCACATACAGAAAGGGAGGGAGGAGATGATTTGTCACTCCTGATGGATGACTCTCCCTCCTAGGCCTATTCAGCATTTATCTGTGTAGGGTTGAATCAATGACGAGTCTGACTGTAATCTGCTAAAAGTTGTAATTAGGAAAATTAAGTAATGATTCTTGTCAAAGCTGACAAGTTGATATATTTCAGTGTCAGAACTGTGATTTGCCAAGCAAGCAGCTCTCTCCCTTAACCACCTCTTAAGAAGCTGTTAGTTTTGGGGTGGGGGTTTCTTCATTGTTTGGTTTTTTCCCTGCTAATTTATCAAAGCAAAATTGGTGCAGTTTAGGCATTTGCTCTTTCCGTTTTTGTCAATGCAGATTCTATCATTTAGAACTCTTAACAACCTGAGAGCAATGCCCTGGAACATTAGGTCCTGCACATCACAGTAGGTGTTAAATCATCTGTATATAAAGTAATGCCCAGTTTGGAAATTTGTTTCTCTATCTCATTTTCAAAGTGGTGCAAGTTTTCCTCAGCATTATATATAAATCCTCCTGATCTCCACCCACTGCTGTCCTGATAGCTGTGAACTTACATGTTTAGCTAATTTGTGTGATGCATTTTTATAATTGAAAAACCTGGCCTTTTGGGCAGCTGACAGGTGCTGTACCCTCTGCTGGCAGCTTTCAAACGCTACTGGTTTGAAAAAAAGCAGTGTCAAAGAGCAACATTTGTGTCATTGCATGGAAGCATAAATCTATTCCCTTTCCTCATATTTTTAAATTATTTTCCCCCCCATTTGCCAATGATCACAGATTTTTTGAGGTTTTGTCCTCTGCTGCTCAGTTTTTCTTCCCCACTTCTAACCTGCAGTGTAGTCAAAGTGCTGAAACTTTATGGCATGGTGATAATTTCCTTAGCAACAGACAGTGTTGTCAGCAACACAGGTTTGTGATTTTAACTGTAGGATACAGCCTTGGGCTGGATCTCCTGGGATGCTGGAGACTAGTACCAGCAGTAGGCTCAAAGGTCTGTGTCTGGGTAAGTATACACCTTATCTCCTCTTGTGCCTGCTGTTTTAGCAGTTGCAGACATCCCCTTATGTGCTAGATGATGAAGAAGGATTTAAACAGAACAGAGGGGTTTGAAAGCAGATACCCAGGTCAGAGGATAAAAATAATTTTTTAATTGAAACAAGTATTCTGAAGAGTTGACTAGATTTACAGTCTTCTTTATTCTTCTATAACGAGACAAGAAGCAGAAGTCCTTCAATTACCAAGTTCAGGCTAGGTTGCTATGTTGTTTTTTTCCCATTATTTCTATTGCTGGCTGAATTCAGTAGCTGCATGAACCTTTACCTTTGGGGGACATTTGACCCTTTCAGACTCCTGTGATATCTGAGAGCTCCTTGGAGCACCCTGCTACCCAAACCAGGATCTTTGTGTCAAAAAGAGTTGCAGCTGCTCAGTAAAGGTAGATATTTTCTCCACTGAACTGTTGTGAATGGTTTAGATGCGTATCATCCTCCCATCTCCATGTATCCCTGGTGGTAGGATAGAGATGGAGGATCCCCTAGAGATTACCTCCAGACCTGTTGTCTGTGAATATCCCTCCCAGAAGGCTGATATTTCTCACACTATGTTTCATTAGACAGGATCTACATCACTGCATTTGCCTGTAAGGACAGAGAATAATGATGTTGTCTGCCAGCAGGCAAGACAGGGAGTCTCTGTGGAAGAAGCTGAAAGCTTACACTTCGAGGTGCTTCTGCAAAGCTTTTAAAATTGCTGATTTTGACCCTAGTGATCCCAAAGAATAATTAAAGAAACTGCCAAACCAGTGAGATGATCCTGATTGCTGGATTGGATTGTCAGAGGAAAAGCAACAGTAGCAGCTGACCTCTGCTATTGGAGATGAATGCATAAACCACTTCAACACTGCAGTCATAAACTTTTAAGATGATATGCAGCATTGATCTCCCACTACTGCTTATTGAATTACTGACTGCTAAATTCAATGTGGAATTAAACACAGGGAGAATCAAAACAAGAGGAAAGAAGTTGGTTTGTGAGGGTGAGGGGTGTTTGATTGCATTACTCCTACATCTCTTATGGTATATGTGGAGCTGAGGTTCCTAGTTTTCAAAATGTTGGTAGCATTGTCTCTTTTATCAATTAAGCTATAAGGCATCTGCTTGTAAAGTGATCTTTGTCAGGGCAGAGAAGGCAGTTAGCTGATGGATGGACAAATTTCATCACAGATTGACCTAGGTGGATTATGCTGCCATTAGCCTAATCAAGGTAGGAGGCTGTGAAGGTAGAAGATATGCTTGAGACATACATACCTAACCTATCCATCCCAAAATCACATCTCCTAAGCAGGAGATTATAGAAAATTACTTGTGCATAAATTACATGGGCTTTTCTAATATATCTTTTTTAGTAGCTAGGTTGAAATCCCTTTTGAAAAGAGCAATTGCACTGATAATTATGCCATGCGAGCACTGCTCAAGTGCATCCCCATCTCCTTGAAAGAAAAAGAAAAAAAAATGAAAAAAGCAATTGTGTCATCAGGTGGTATAACAGCCAGAATACCCAAGGGCTTGTGGGGCTGTGCTCCCCAGACTGTCAATGGGGTATGTGTAGGAGAGGAGTGACACCAAGCTCTTGGTTTCTGAACATTTCAACTCAAAACAACCACTGGCAGAGTGACCCCCTGTATAAAGAGTTCCTCCTTTGCCTAAGCCACCAAGAGCTTCATCACCAGCACATCCAAGGGCTCAGAAGCTGTTCCTTGTCATCTTCAACTTGGGATTCTGGTATTTGGAGTTTTGTCATTTCCCACAAAAATGAATCTGGACACTTAACTATGTCTTGAATGAAACACAGCAGCCTCCTCATATGCTAATAGAGTTCTGTGTCTGCCAAGGGAGACTGGCAAACACTGACAAAGCAGCGATGGAAGTAGTGGTGTGATATTGTGTCCAACAAATGCAGAAGGAAAAAAAAAAAACAAACCATTCCTCTATACCAAGTGTTTTCATTTGATGCCTTGAGAATTGTTCTGGTTTGGTTGTTATTTCCTGACAGCTAAAAAATCCGTGGCTCTTCAGCTTGACAGCTAGAAATATCACCATTCTATAAAAACGCCTTTTTTTTCTATTCCTGAAAATGAGAAACAACTTTTAGATTCTTTTTATAGTCTCCAAAATGTTTAAGGGGAATATACTGAATTAATTGTCAAGCACCGCATTTAAATAAAAATATGAAAATCAGCATTTGTACTGCTCTGATCTGTGCTTTTATTTCAGGTTTGCAGATTTTATCAGGGGCATGCTGAAGTTTATACTGCTGCTGCTTTTATCTGGAGCAACATTAGCATCAACCTGGTTTACTCTCACCTGTCTAACTAGTGTCACTCATCTGCCTTTAACCACAGGTATTGACAATGATTTTAATTCCTATTATTTATAATTGATATTACAGGCAAGTATTTGCCGTCTTAAGTGTCTTATAACCTGGTTTGTTATCTTAAGTAATACAGTAGTTCTATTAAGACAAAAAAAATACAGTTAGAAAACCTATTGAATCAGAAATATTTTTACCAGCTTTGAATGACTTCATAACAAGGTTAAAAACTTACAAAGCCCAATAATAAGAACCCAGAATACACATTTAAATTTGATTTGAGGACAAAGTGTTTTTCTTCTTTGAGTCTTTTGAAATAACTGAGGTGAGAAATAAATCAAGAAAAATCAGATGAATGGGTGTAGAGTTGCATATAAGAAACAGTGTTATGTCTGGGAGTTTAGGGGATTAAAACTTATATTAGTTATTGGAAACATGTGGTGCATTTCAAACCAAGGTGACCCATAGCATTTTCAGCCATTTGAATCTGTCCCTGCGCAGTGCTGTCCTCTTTTTTTTGCACCTGCATGTAGGTTCAGGGAACTCTTCCAGCCCAAAATTAACTCAGCCTGTGCCTCAAAAAGACAGGAAAAAAAGCTCTTGGCAGGAGTGGGGGAAAAGCTCAGAGGTCTACTCAGGCTGCCAGCAAGCTGTACCTTTATTTGAAAATTAGTGCTGCTTAGTTCTTAAAAATCTGTCCTTCACCTTCTTATCTGCACCAAAGGACTGATCCACCTGTAATTCCAAGACCTTCAACAGAGTAATGAGTTATAGTAAAACCTAAGCCATTGAGATTTAAAAATATATTTATTTAATAAAGAATTCTGTAAATCCATTTTAAATAAAGTGCTGTCTTTGTTATAGGCAACTCATGCATTATAGGAGAAACAAAAACTTTTTTTCCTCGTTTTTAATTAAAGAGTTTGATGTGGAGAGTATATAGAATACTGTTTTACTCAAATTAACTTTGATTTTCAGTGAGTGTCCTTGGTGCATTGCAAATGTCACAACTATAAACTAAAATGGGTACAGAAAATTGAAATACATGATCAGTTCAGGAGCAACACCATCTGGATGGATAGGTCCAATTTGTGCTTTATCTTGAAATTTCAATGTTTTCAAAAAAATTCTGCTTAAATAAAACATAATTTAATCAATAAACAAATGAAATTTCATGATGGCTGTTGTCATACCAAATGACTACACTTTTCCATCAAATCTAAAATAAATGCAATAAAAGCTTTTTTCTTGTGCTTGCCTGCTTCGTCACTACAAGCCTGCAGTAATGTAAATTTTTACAGTAACTTTATCCTCTGAATTGATGCAACAAGCCAAATACATAAATGTCTCTTCAAGTCTATGCATAAGAATGAAGCGGAAAGGTTTCAAGAGGTGAAAGTCATTATGTATGTGCTCACCAGTACTCCAAAATAAAACTGATGGAGCTCTCTCTGATTTTACTTTATTTTTTTTTGTAAAGAATTCAGCATGTGACATGGGTTCTATAAGAATTTTTACTTGTTTATAGCAAATAGGTGCATTGCAGTGGTTTTTTTGGAAAGGTAATCCACTGTCAGGACATGAAAGTATGTAAGGTGTTTGAGGTTTGATATACAGTATCCTGAACTAGCATCCCTTGATAAAAATCTGGGGATTGGGTTGTTCTTTTCATGCAGCTATTATTTCTCTTAAAATGGATGATTCCTTAGATTAAGTTGTAATTATATTTTAGAGTTTTATGTCAGTAGTGTTCTTATATATGTCTCTGTAAATACTGAACCATTTCCTTTAAAACACAAGCTTGTTTTGAATAGAAGTGCCAGCAATGTGGTGCATTCCTCAGAAAAAAAAAAGTCAATCAAAAGCATCAGAGTCTAATGTGCAAGCACCAAATAAGATCTCTTTTTTCTTATGTTTAAATTTCATAGATAGGTGGTGGGGGAAGGTTCATATCAGGCTCTTCTCATTAAAGTTCATATAAAAGAGATGTTATGTGCCTGTTCAATTTAGCTTCTTGTACACAGAAAAGCAGTGGTATATCTCTATGAAATATGCTGTTATGGATGAAAACACACAAGCTATTTAAGCTAATTTATAGGCCTTCATGCTAGATTATTCCTCAATGTAATGATGCAATATGATGATGACCTCTGCATTCACAGTAATTGGGAGAAACGGTACATTTGAATTGATTTGGATGAACTTCTTTTTTTCTTCTCCTTTTAATTAAAAGTTTGAGATGCAGAGTATATCAGAGTACAAACGTAGGAGGTCAAATGCAGGCCGTGGGCTGGCAGCTTTGGGAAGTGATTTGTGGTAGCTGGTAAAGGTGGAAGTCACTCTGCATCCTCAGTGGGCTGATGTTGTCAGTGGGCTGCCGGGTAGTTATCCTCTGTGTGTTTTTGTAGAGGTGGAAAATGTGCAAAACAAAAGCAGCAGTCGTTGTGGAGTTTTTTTCCTCATTCATTTTTTTCTTTTTTCTCTTTATTTTTCTTCCTTTTCCCTTCTTTTTTCTTTTTCTCGTAGTTTTCTTTTTATCTCTAGTTTCTTTTTTTGTTTTTTTTTTTTGTTTTTTTTTTTCAGAAGAGGTCCATGTAATGCTTTTCAGGCAGCACTGAGCACCTGCTGCAAAGCAGGGATTGTTGTGTCACTGAGGGCAGCAGGGTTTGATGTTGATAGAAGGTTAAAAGGCTCCTCCACTTACTTCTTCCTGCCCTGTGGCAAAGAGCACAAGTGTTGGGCTTGGCAGTGCTACAGAGCCAGTGATGGATCTCAGTCCACACCTTCAGCCTCATTCAAATGCTGAGGCAGACCAAGCAGGGTTCAAAACTGACATGGAAACTTGTGCGGGTGTACATTTGATCTTTTCCAACTATGTAGCTCCCATTTTGGGAGGGACTTCCACCTCCTCTCGAGGCCTGCCTCCAGTGTTGTCCTCTTGAACAAGTCAGACTTTGCCCTACAAAACCATACGCATTGCCATCTTCAGCAATACCTGGAAACTGCTAAAATATCCACGTGATCTGACAGACTGCTGGTACCGTTAAAAGGGAGCTCTTCCATGGGTCAGGAAAGGCATTTTGATGAGGAGGCAAGACACTTCATGGCAGCCCTTGTATTGGCCCAGGTGTTACAGCAGGAAGCTTCACCACAGAGGTGAAGGCTGGTTAGATAACAATCATCTGCCACATCTCACCTGACAGCTGCTTGATCCATGAATAAAGTTTGCATCCATAGGCAGACCTTGATAGGGGTTTCCCCAGGTCCAGAACCAGTCTTTCCTTTACCATGTGGATATTGGGTGATTCCCCAATAACCCAGCTCATTTCCCTCTTTTGAAAACCCTCTGCCCATCTCCCACCTGGTCTCCAGAGCAAGCCCTTAGGTGGATACATTTACATGGAAGCAGACTTTTTAAATGCTAAAAAGATGAGAGTTTGGCCAATTATACATCCTAAAGGGAAGGGAAGAAAATCTCTAAAGATTTGTTTTTAAAACACAAACAAACCAGCCCTTCTCTTTTAATCGGTATTCTTTGTAGCAGTTGTAGTAATGTCTGGTTTAAATATTGGGGGAGGAAATGTATTTTAAAAAACAGTCACAGCAAAGTGTATTTTCCTGACCTTGCTCGTATAATATTCTCCTAATTCCTTGTAAATAGGCACAACATCATTTAAAGATGTTTCCTACAAAATGTAATTATGTAGAATGGAGACCTTTAATGCAGATATGAAAAATCAATGACTGCATTTGAGAGTTTTTTTTAAATTATACTGTTTAGCATTGTTTGTATTGAGTAATGCCTGGATTGTTTTGCATTTGCATAATATGCTCCATTTTTCCTCCAGCCATAGAGGAAGACAAGTTTTCTGTCAGATGTTGACTTCTTAATGTGTCTCCAAAAGATTTTATAAAAAGTATATTCAGAGTCATATACATGAACTGTAACAACTAGTGTGGGGAAAAAAGAAAGCAAGGCAATAATGATACAGTGCCATCATAGCTACTGTATCATCTGTCTAAAACACCTCTCATCAACTAATCACAGCTCTCCAAAAACCTTGATTCTGGAATTGATTTATATTTTAAGCAAGCCTGAATTTTATTTTAAGAAATTTTAATTTTAATGTATATTATTTGCATTTCAGTTTCAAAGACAATTTTGTGTACACATCGAGCACTGAAATAGTTTTCTCCATTGAAGTCTGAGCGCAGCTGCCGATCTGTTTCTCTGTGCCAAGTTCATTGTTAGTTTGCTTTGTACTGAACTTCATTATGTGAATTTATGTACAATGGGATACTTCGACCCAAAATAATTGTGTAAGGCATTATAATGCCAGTTTCGGTATCTTGCCACTTTGTATTGCTGGTAGTATCTCTGGATACAAATACTAGCATTTTCCAAAAATTGATATGCAATGCTAGTTGCTCACAGCTCAGATTGAATGTTTTCAGCATAGCATGTCAAGAATATTCTAATATTTATGAGCACATTCAGTGGAATTTTGCTTTACAAAATCTTTTCTAGTGCTGCATGGCAGACACTCTGAATATGGTGGCAACTCCATGAGTTGATGACTATATTTAGGTTAGGCAGCCTACACTTTTATTTTCAGGTTCAACAGATTGAACATTATAAACACATCTGTCTCTCTGTCCTCATCTACAAAGCACAGTATTGAAAAAGAGAGATGTTAATAATTTGATACTGATTGGTTTATTATTTCAGTTTAATTTCTTTACTATAAACAAGATGTGCTTGGTAAGTATAAGGCAGGGGGACCAGAGGATAAAACAGTGGCCTGAAAACACTAACTTGCTTATGGCTGTGGGCAAATCATTACCCCCACTCCTGTTGTGCTTTTCCCGCTCATAGGACGGGAGTAATGACCTTTGTTTTGTAGACAGGTTCTATAACTGCACAGATAGAAGAGTGCCTAAAAAGAACTAATTTAGGGGGCTTATTTGAACACAGTTTTAAAAACAGTGTTAAACAGTATACAGTGCTTGAAATTTAGGAGGAGCATTTCA